CTTTAAGTTCTCCTCGTTTGTTTACAGTCGCGTTTGATTGTTCTTCATCGACCTTCAGCGTTTGTACTAAAGACTCGGGGGAGATTTTAGTTCCAGCAAAAACTGAAGAGGGAAAGCTGATCGCCTACATGGAAAAAAAGGAGAGAGAAAAGCACATGAAGCGGAATCCCAACAAACACACAACGTTGCCTCAACGTAGCGACCTTCCTACAACGTTGTACCAACATTGTAAAAAGGTTGAGGATTCTACGTTGTTGCTAAACGTTGTCACAACGATGTCATAAGGTTGCCATTTAAACATCATGAGGGTCGCATGCTTTAGGTTGTGCTTAGGTGGCGTGGACGACCACTGTACAACATTTACTGGTCACAGCTGAATCAGTTTAAATTTCAACAAGCCGTCGTCTCATTCATCAACGACCGAGGAGACGTGAGTATTGCTTTATTTCTTCTTGCTAAATAAGATACGTAAATCGTGAATATTCAAACAAACCTACGATTTCGACAACAATCTGTTCCAACATTACACACACACAAAAGCCGTAATTATTACGAGCGAGTAACATTTCGGCAATCTGTTCACGGACGGCAACAACATTAAAATCATTATGTTAAATCTGTCGATAAAACATTTCCTGATTATTTACCTACGCCTTGTCTTTAGTCAAATGGACAATAATGTTTTTGAAGTTCAGTTTTCTCCATATCCATCGTGATCAGTCAGTATGATACTTTATCACACGAGCCGACCCACTTTTTACAAAACACACAAAATAACTTTTAAAAACAAAACACCTCTGTGCAGATTGCGTCCCGTTAAAGTAACAGTTCACTCAAAAATGATATGTACTCACGAATTATTTGCCCTGTAAATAGTAAGTGATTCCAAACCTTTAAGTTTCTTTATTCTGTTGAACACTTAAAGACTGTAAGCATTTGCTTTCATAGTAGGAAAACACTATGGAATTAAATAGTTACAGTTTCCAGCTTTATTTAATATATCTTCTTTATTGTTTAGCAGAAAAAAGCTATATAAGTTTGCAACAAATAAAGGATGAGGCTAAAATGGCAGAATTGTCAGTTTTGGGTGAGCTATCCCTATAAGTTAAAGTATATAAATTAATGTTCATATGCCTAATTAATATAGATAGTAATTAAAAGGTCTGCTATAGTCTAAATTTCTATTTTGATTGGTCTTTTGATGTTTTATTTAAAACCCACTCTTTTCTTTGCTCAACAGGCTATTTTTACATGGAGGTAATCTTCTATTGATAATTTCTGGATTTTAATTATGCGTAAGTTGCATAAAACTCTATTGTTTAATCACTCACTGTTGTTTTCAAATTACTCATGTAACTTGTCTTTCAAAATGTTTTCAGCTGTTGAATTCACCTCAGATCAGTGTTGCTGTAATTCCTGATCTATGGAAAGAAGAATTGGATGAGGTAAGAAGTATACTATTTTATTTACTATTAAATGTAGTTATGTTACCTAAAACAGCATGTCCATAATGTGGAAAATAGATCATGCTTATGAAAAATTACTTTATTATTTTGTACAGCTGTTATTGAAATGACACTAAGTTTAACATTCCATTTACAGCGAGCAACGCCACAACTACAGGGCCTGTTCTTTCTCTTCTCATAATTTAAGTAAGTATTCGGAGACTAACTCTGACTTCTGTTAACTCAAACCTGTTTTCCCTGTATCTCTAAATTTATTTAATTGTATGTAATTTTGGTATATGATATATTATTAAAACATTAAAATAAAGTAGGCTTCATAATTACTCTGGATATTTTATATGTAATGAAATTACAATAAATGTCTTAAACTTCAATAACTTGCTAGTTATAGTCATTTCCTGTGTAGTGCTGTTGTGTCAAGCTCTGATCTGTCCTCTCTTGTTCACTGCCTATTTTGACTTGTGTCTGCTGTGGATCTCTGAAGCTGTATTATCAGTTGAATTTGTTTCTTCCTCTGACTGCTTTCTCCATACCAACAACTACGACTGGTCTTCAGCTGCGCTCCCCGGTCTGCTGTATTCTCCAGTCCAGAGCTTCACTGCCCAGTGTTTGAATTTTAATTTATATATTTATTTACATTTTAATGATTTCTTGTTTACTTTTCTTGTTTGTTTACCCTTTAGTTTAATTTATATATATATATATATATATATATATATATATATATATATATATATATATATATATATAAAATCTAAACTTTATTTTATACTGTTTGCTTATAATTAGATACTGTATGTGTACTGTATGTATTAAATGTTGTGAAATATATAATAAAAAGTTTGATTATTAATTTTTGTGGCATTTTTACACTTTAAAGTTTACACATGCAGTTATTAAATTAAATGCGAAAAATAAATGAATAATATTTCATATTAAGCAATACTGGAAAAGAATTGCTGCTTATCCTGTATTCTAGGCAGTATTGATAAACTGCCACAAAAAATATTAATACAAGTAGTAAGAACGCCGCCTCACGGTTGCTGAATGTCGCACGACAACGTTGCTACAGCCTTCTCACGTCTTACATTTCTACGTTGTGACAATGTAGCGAGCACGTAAGCGGCAACGTTGCCTTTAAAAAAATACAACGTTGTGCGGACATCGCTACAACGTAAATGTGTTTGTTGGGATAATAGTTTTATAAAGAGAAGCTCATACACATCTTACAGTAGCGTTACCCTGTGTCACTATGTAATGACAGTAGAATTAATACAAAAGAATGGCAATACCTTTGTGTTATTGTTATTGCTGGTGTCAGATATGCTGCTTTTGGGCTGTTTTGCGTCTGTTTTTGCTCGCTGAAAGGACTGGATCTGTATCTTCTCCAGACTCTCCAGCGTGGGTCTGTTTTCGGGCGCATTTTCCAGCTTCACTGCACCATGATGGAGCTTCTGCCGAATCCGTTTGATTTTCCCAACCATTTTGTTTTAGTATGTGCGTTTCGTTGATATCCTTGAGCTTACACAAAGCCCAGACATTCAGAAATCGTCCCGCACGTGTTAAAATTGACAAATTTGTTTGGTGTTACATTTAACATCGTCCGGGTGAAAGTGATTCGGAAGATGGGTTCCGTCAAAAGTTCTTTTCAGGTCGCCTAAACTGCAAAATGTCCAGGTAAGAGTTTTCAAAACAACCTCAAACTTAAATAAACCCACAATAAACAACACATTTTGTTGCATTAAGCGTCATTTAACGTATGACCTGCTTTAAATACCAAAAACACTACAGCAATTTACATTAAATAGATAGAATGTTATTTACCAAATGTTACAATCAAATTTCGGAGTTCAACGGGTTTTCTACACAATCTCTCGTTTTTTATTTATTTAATCCATCATATTTGTGTTGGGCAAGGGTGTCCAAACTGGACAGTGTTGCCAGAGTGGGTGGTTTTGATTTTGCTTTTGCGGGTAAAAAAAATGACATAGGCGGGTAGTGAAATTTTGGGCGGTTTTGCAACGCTCTTCACATACAAACGCTTACTACAGTTGTGATCTTCCAATTTTACATAGTTTTTGGGCTGAAATTAGTCAGCTACATCTGGCTACACTGGTCCTAAAGGGACTCAACAGTTTAACTTCTTTTAAAGGTGTGGTCCAGAATGTTTTTGTGTTTATGAGATGCAAAGCAATGTATGCTCATGCTTCAATTGTCAAAAATCATGTTATTGTTTCATATATCCAGTGCTCAATTTGTTAATTGCGAGGGCCCGGAACAGATCGAAGTAACAGCATCCGGCATGTTACCCGAGGATGAAGAGGTGTCGTGCATGAAAGTGGAGAGCTGGGGTTTAGGAGCAGCGTTGGATGTGGCAGAGGGGTGTCACAGACGAAGGATAAAAGTAAAGAGCGGGGGGTTGTCCCGGGCGAAATTGAAGAGGGTTGGGAAGTTGCGGAAGAAAGTGAAATTGAACAGCGGACACGGAGGAGGTCAGTTGAGGAGGTGGATTGGTAAAATGAGGGGATCTGGATCCAGCCTGTTCCAGCACAAATTAAGCCCTGCATATATCTTATTTTAATTATATACTGCTATTCAGCTAACATGAAAATAACTGTCATATTTCCTAGTTCCCCCAAAAGCCCGCCCTTAAGAGGCTCTGATTGGTCAGCTAACATAATGTGATGTAATTTCCGAATCAGCTCCACATCACCAGGAAGCATCTCTGTTATAACATTACAGTGCCTCTGGCCATGCCCTCTTCGCTGCACTAAGTGTATGCGCATAATCTGAAGGGTTTATGACATCATTAACCTGGATGTATTTTTTTGTAGTCCTCAAAGTTCGTTTGCTGTAGGCTTTGCAAAGCTTACTCTGTAAAAGCCAATGTCTCCCTTTGCATTGAACTTTGAGCGTCTTACATATAGAGATGTTGTTTATGTTCACACAGCTACATTACACATCAACTAAAGCTTAAAATATGATATCGCAGTGGACCACCCCTTTAACACACCTGCCTGGAAGTTTCCAGTAGTGTTTCTCAACCAGGTTCTTGGACGACCACCAACACTGCATGTTTTGGATGTGTCCTTTGTCTGTCACACCTATTACAGGCATTTCAGTGAGTTGATGAGCTGTGTTTGGTTAAGGCAGAGGTGTCCAAACTCGATCCTGGAGGGCCGGTGTCCTACAGATTTTAGTTCCAACCACAATCAGACACCTGGGCAAGCTAATCAAGCTTTTACTAGGCTTTCTAGAAACATCCTTGCAGGTGTGTTGAGGCTAGTTGGAGCTAAAATCTGCAGGACACCGGCCCTCCAGGATCAAGTTTGGACACCCCTGGGTTAAGGAGACACAGAAAATGTGCAGAGCTGGTGGTTCTCCAGGAATGTGGTTGAGAAACACTAATCTAGTACACCTGGAAAGAGCTTGATTGGCTGGTTCAAGTGTGTTTAATTGCGCTTAGAACTAAAGTGTGCAGGACATCGGCCCTCCAGGACCAAGTTTGGACACCCCTGGTGTAGGGTAACAATAAAGATTTTTGATATGGAAAATTTGTGCAGAAATACCAAAATAAAAAAGCTGCAGAGTATAAAAGGTTAAATACTATATTGTTATTGAATCATACTATAGTAAAGTGTAATATGCTGTATATAATATAGTATTTACAAAATCTGTTATTGACTGCTGTAGCATATATTTATAAAGTGTATAATAACTACTGTTGTATGCTTAAGTTTTTACTACAGTAAATTGGTGTAACTATAGTAGTTAGTTGTTTTTACACTACTACATTATTTGGAAAATGTTTATTTTACTGTAATTGTTGAGTTACAGCACCTATAGATTAAGGTAAATTTGGTTTTATATTCGCACACTGATTCAGCAACAACTTGTAATACACTCCCTATATTGTTTTCCATGGTACTTTGAATATTCAGTCTGAAATCAAACGCAAGTATAACTTGAAAACAACATTAGCACTATTTATTAGACTGTGAACAGTGTTGTATTTTGATAGTTATTGGCTGCTATTTCACTATTTAGAATTTGCAAAGATCACTTTATTGAAACTATATTATTAAGGACAAAGTCAAAATGTGAGAATATAAAACCAACATTACCTCAGTCACCTATAGAATTACCACAACAGATTAATTACAAGTACTTTACTATAATCAAAAACACTAGGATTTTTATATGTGGCCCTTAAATGTTTAGAAATTGTTTTCAACTAACTTGATGGTCTTGTTTTACTATCCATAGTTTAACTATGGTATTGAAGAAAAACAATGCAAGTCATTGGGCTAATTAATCCATTAAATTAAAAGCATGCTAAATTTTTACAAAGAGTAGCCAAAATTCCAGCAAAACAGAACAAATCAGAAACCCATTCAATAGTTAGTTCTTTCTCATTGGCATAAACAATAATCAGGGTCACCAAATGACATAGTAAGTCCTTTCAAAATGATCTTTATTTATTAATGAATATGGCAAATGCTTAAACAAATACATACATTATATATACACAAGCAAAACAGACAGAGCTACTTAGCAATGTTACAAAAAGTACAGATCCGGCTCAGCTTAGAAATACAAAAATATAACACTATTGGTCCAGCAGCATACATTTGATTTAACAAATGACTCGACACGATTCAGTACATTCTAATACAGTCTATGTGAATGGTGATGCATTAATGAGTGTATGTATTTTAAATGGTATACTGTGGTGTACTGTATCCAGGTAGGTGGAGGTGGGATCAGACACGGTCGTTTTCACTGCCCTCCTTCTGTCTCTTCTTGTAACTGAGTCTGGCCCCTGAGGTGCTTCGGGGTCAAAGTAAGATTGTAATTGAGCCCTTGTGCCCATTGTCTCTGTGCTTTATTCCAAAGGAGCAGTTAACACACACACCACTGTAAGTACTGCTGAAATAGAGTTGTACGGCTTAGAAGCCATTGCAACTTTATTCAAATACTTAAAGGAACACTAACATCTTTTTGGAAAAGTTTCATTTTACAGTTCCCTTAGAGTTAAACAGTTGAGATTTACAATTTTAGAATCCAATCAGTCGATGTTCGGGTCTGGCAAGAACACTTTTAGCTTAGCCTAGCATAAATCACTGAATTCATTTAGACCATTAGAGTATTGCTCAAAAAATGACCAAAGGGCTTCAAAACGTTACAGTAATTACATCATTTACTAAGATCAACAGAAAATGCAAAGCTGCTATTTTCTAAACCTATATGTCTAGGAACAATACTCACACTCTGGTGTAAAATAATCAATTACTTTAATTGCTGTATCATGGCTGCAGCAGGCACAATGATATTATTGTTATTACGCTGGAATGAGGGTATAGTTCCTAGCCATATCAGCCTAGAAAATAGCAACTTTTCCTTGTCCATTGGTCTTAGTACACAATGTAACTACAGAAGTGTCAAGCTTTAAATAGGAAAATTATCAAAGTTTTTTTTTTTTTGAGCGTGATGCTAATGGTCTAATCTGATTTGATCAATTGTGCTAAGCTAAGCTAAGCTAAAAGTGTTCCCGCCAGACCTAAAAACCAGTAGAACCCAACTGTTTAGGTCTAGAACATTGTAAAATGCCTATTTCCATAAAACTGGAGTGTTCCAAGCAAGATTTAAAGAGTTGTCGTACATCTTAAAACTATATGAATTACATTTCAAATATCTGAATAATATTTAATTCTAAAATTAAGTGATAATTATCCACGGTAAACCAAAATAGGCTTTGTTATCTTTATGCAAAGTATAACTTTCTATACTAAACATGCATCTTATTAAATGTGCACTTAGATACGATCACACAAGTCTCAAGCAAAATAGCTAAAAAATTATTTGGCGTACAGATTAACTAAATATATAGCAACACAACTTTACCTTATTTATTTATATATATATATATATATATATATATATATATATATATATATATATATATATATATATATATATACTGTATTTATTAAGACTTTAGAAAATTCTGCAAACAAGTGTTGACTGGGAAGACTTGAAATTGTTGCATTTTCTGTTTCTTTTGTGCATGTGTCAAATTCAGCGTTCAGGTTAAGTTTGTAATCCGGATATGAACAAAAAGCGAGGAAGGAGGTATGCTGGTGCCATCCTTAGAAAGCAGATGAATGTGACGATATCCTGTGAAGAAGAATTAAATGTGCCCAGGATTAACAGGGAGGATAAATTTTTGATGCATTTGGTGGAATGGAGACGTACCTGGTTGAATACAGGTGAAAGGGAGAGTGAACTGTCCCACAAAGTCGTTCTTTGAGGTTTTATCATAGTCTTCTACGACAAACCGCACCAGTGCCAATTCAGGAGCGTGAATGGTGAATTGAAGGGTGTCGTACCATACCGGGTTAAAACCTGCAATGACAAGTGGATAGTACATGTGAAATTTCAAGAAATAACAAAGCATGCCATGCTAATATATCATAAACTATATTATTTAAAAATTTCAAAGAATAAAGAGAGAATTTGCGAGAGCGGTCCTCACATCTTTTCTATATACAAAAGTACACACACATACAT